TGGCCCTCCTCATCACCAAACAGGTCAGCCCCCCCCACCCCAGTAGCAGTAGCATCATGCCGTCAGCTCCTCCGAAGTCCTTCGGGATCTCCACCACAGGACTGTCTGGCATCAGTCGGGGGCATCGCCATCGCCTTGGACCTCACTTTGAAGGATGTGCAGAACTCTTGCAAAACGGCGGGCGGTAGGAAAATACCGTACGTGTCCTCTCGAACTGTCCCACAGGGTCTTGGGAGACAGCCAAGGCCTTTGACGGGAGTTGTCCTATCTCCGACTGGGTTGAAGTTGACGGATTGTCAGAAGATTCCCAATGGGAGATATCCACTACCATCGACGACCAGCTGGTACCCTCCTTCATTGTGGATGCATAGAAAAGCCTTGACAGGTTCAACAGCAGAGTACTACTGACATGCTCGTCCCCATAGGGCATCTCCTCTCACAGCTGACCAAGTCCTTCACCCTCCTACCTGGGGACATCATCCTCACTGGCACGCCGGTGTTGCCTCTAGGCCCCGGCCCCCTCAAACCTAACATGCTGCTCGAACTCAGCATCCAACCCTCCATTGGAACCGTCACCACTCGAACATCCTAGTCCGCTCAACCATGATTTTTTTCCAAGATTCTGTGTCGAGTTCAGGCTGTGGAAATATATACCCCTAAAGGGTACAGTTGTTCACTAAAAACTCAACGTTACTACATAGGGAAAAGTATCATCGTTCTAACCTATTACTATTGTTTACTATTGATAGTAGCATCTAGTAGTTATTTTTGCCAAAGACTAGAGACACTACAAAGAGAGGGGGGAATGGCACTGAATCGAACTCAGTATGCTGATCAATATTACGACTGTAGTTGGGGTCACATGCGGAAAAGTAACGAATGATAAGAAGACAGCGACGATAGGAAGAGTAACAGAAGGGCACTTCTCAGAAGGGGGCCTCACTAGAGCGCAGTCCAAGCTGTTGGCGAGCCACGCTGAACAAGTCGGTGGAATCAGGCACATAGAACTCATAAAACGTTCGTTTCACTTTAACAGAGGTCTCTCGCTTCAACGCAGCCTCTATCTCGCCGTTTGTCCTTCGTGCTGGCTCTACGGACCTCACCTTGGATGTCGTCTTCGGTGCACTACCATTTGACGTATCCTTCGCTGTGCGTGGCCCCACAGCTGCTGCCTTCCCTCGAGTCGAAGGGCCCTTACTTGACTGCTGTTTTTTCCGCTCGGCACTGGGAAGGGATGACCGGTTGTTGGATTTGCTCTTCCCAACAGTCTGCCATTCTCCATCATCATCCTCCTCCTCATCGTCAACTCCCGAAGGCACCACCACTATAGGGGCTTTCATGGCCAGAGACTCAATAGCCGTCTTCGCTCGTACCAACGTACTCTCATGCACTGGTGTTATCAAGGAGTCCGTAGAGGACGACGATGATGATGATGCTTCCGATGGCGATCTCGATCGAGAAATTGAGGAGGAGGACCCTCCAGGGGACACAATAGTCGACACCGTACTACTATTCACTACTGCACCAGTCTTGTTCAACTGCTTCGCTTCGCCATTCGAGTTCGAACCTTTCGCCTTAGTAACCACTCCCTCGGACTTCGCTGTCGCCGCCTTCTTAGCCTGCCGCTTCTTCCTCTTCTTAGCAGCCTTTGACGGTTGTGCAGCTTCCTTCACAACCTCGCCCTGTTCGCCAGCCTCGAGGTCCACGAACGAGCGACTGGCCACAGATTCAAAGGGTATCGAATTCAGGAACCGAGACGACTGCGGACCACCCAGGAAGGGGGACGACTCCTGCTGCTGCTGCTGAGCGCTCTCTTGATGACGACGTTGAAGTGAAGCGAAACGATCCTTGTGGTATTCCGACAGGATCCTCTGAAATAGCAGCAATAAAAGAGACCGTGCTGAAGGAGTATTTCTTACGAATTCTAATGCCTGGGCTAAACTGGCGTCCAGATCAGCATAGCGCACTGAGCCCGAATTCTCAAGAACAGCTTCGAACGGATATAACGATACTGACTTCATACTATGTACCAGTCTGTTATAATCATATATCATTTTATCAATTTCACGTTTTCCTACCCGTACCCACCTTGCCATATCAGTTTGAAGGTGGCATCCACGGCCAGCATTTTGCAATTGCTGGCCTTCTGGAGAAGCCTCTTACTTGAAAATACCACTCGATGCCCTCCAGAGTTGAAATTAGAGTGCACCTATTCGAAAGAGCTAAGTTGTGTAGTTAAGCCTCATGTTAAGCATACCACGAACCCGGCATCTTCACTATCCAGCGGAATTTCCGAGTAACGACAAGCCAGAGTCTTGAGGTCCCCGTTGGTTGGTACCACGCTTCCACCCCGCAAGGCGATTTTCCGATTGCGAACATAACCCTCCACCTAAATAACAACTTCGAGTGGAAGTTGGTACAGATTTGGTCGGCGTCTTACCTGACGGTACCCTGGGAGGTCGGCGTCGTTCCGCGTTCCAGTAACATCCCTCAATGCTTCGGGTTTGCTGCCTCCAAAGAAGAGTTGAACTCCCACAGGACGAATCTTCCTGCGTCTATGGATAAGGTAAGATACGGATGAGGTCCACTTGCGTCACTCGTCCCCCCCAGGCGATCATCTTTAGTAAATCATTTACCTCTTTGGTACCCATCACACAACCTATACACCTTCAGCAACGAACTGACGTCTACTATGAGACAGAGTTGGCCCTCCTCATCACCAAACAGGTCAGCCCCCCCCACCCAGTAGCAGTAGCCTCATGCCGTCAGCTCCTCCGAAGTCCTTCGGGATCTCCACCACAGGACTGTCTGGCATCAGTCGGGGGCATCGCCATCGCCTTGGACCTCACTTTGAAGGATGTGCAGAACTCTTGCAAAACGGCGGGCGGTAGGAAAATACCGTACGTGTCCTCTCGAACTGTCCCACAGGGTCTTGGGAGACAGCCAAGGCCTTTGACGGGAGTTGTCCTATCTCCGACTGGGTTGAAGTTGACGGATTGTCAGAAGATTCCCAATGGGAGATATCCACTACCATCGACGACCAGCTGGTACCCTCCTTCATTGTGGATGCATAGAAAAGCCTTGACAGGTTCAACAGCAGAGTACTACTGACATGCTCGTCCCCATAGGGCATCTCCTCTCACAGCTGACCAAGTCCTTCACCCTCCTACCTGGGGACATCATCCTCACTGGCACGCCGGTGTTGCCTCTAGGCCCCGGCCCCCTCAAACCTAACATGCTGCTCGAACTCAGCATCCAACCCTCCATTGGAACCGTCACCACTCGAACATCCTAGTCCGCTCAACCATGATTTTTTT